CAGAGGCGAGCGGCGGCTCCATCAGCCCTCCGGGTGGCGGGTGGCGGCGGATGGCGGGCCCGTCCCTCTTCCTCGCCGCCCCGCCCCCGGCTGAAGGTCAGCGCGCTTTGTTCCCGCCGCCTGAGAGCGCACGCGAAGCCGCGCAGGCGGTTCCCTGAGTGGGACAAGGCCTCCCCAGCGTGGTGGGCCTGGGTGAGCCTCGTCTTGAAACCGCGCCTGGGAAGGAAGGGGTTCTCGGCGTTCGCGCGGCCAGGCCACCGCCTCGCCCTTCCGGGCTTTGCACGGTCTCCGCACAGCGCCCTGGTCCGACTCTGGGAGCCTGCGGCGGAGGCGGAGCCAACTTAGTGACACACGGAGCTTTCCGACCCGTGGGCCCGTCCCTAAAGGATGCGGGGTCGCAAGCAGCACCCCTTCTCCCCAGGGGTATCCTTGAGGCAGTCGGCCTGCACTTTCTCCAACTCTGCTTGGCTTTGCTACCTTGGAGGAATCCCTGCAGTATCTTGCTTCACGTACGCCACTGTGACAGGCGTCTGCAAATTCCTTAGCAAAAAGGCCCAAGTTGAAGTTCTTGGTCCCAAAAGTTACATACATGCTTTTAAATTACTGCCGCCACCTTGTCATAGTGACTACCTCCTCTTGGTGACTAATCTCTGCTTACTACACACCAGAGGCTTGTTAAAGCTCCCGACGTTCCTTAACTCCATTCCCAATAATCTGTGATATAGGTGCAACAGGCTGAGTATGCCTTAACATGAAACGCCTGGATTTGGAAGCCGTTTAGTTTATGGAATAGTTGTAGGTTTGGCAGATTAGCGTTCCTAATCCGACAAGCCCAGAATCTGGCATAAAACTCGAAAAGAAGTGGGCATTGTAGTGTTGTGAATTTTTTGGCATAGGAGTGTTCGGTTTGTATTGCAGAGTAAAGCCCTGTTATGTGAAGCGTGATGGTTTGACTGTGATGGTAGCTTGAATTTAAACTCAAGTGGATTTAACCTCAGTTGCTGTTGTAATAAACTCTGTGAGATGAACAGTGAGATTCACAGAAAAGAGGGCAGTGATAGGATTGGGATATAGTCAAAAATTAAAAGGGGAATGGCTCATCTGGCAGGAGCTGTTGCATCATTTTAATGCCTTTGTCTAAAGAAGCTGCTGTCAAACTCAGTTGTGGGCCATTTTTTTCCTTGGTTGACCATTATTATTGGTTCACAATGTTATAACATCTAAACCCTTAAATTTTGATGTATTAACTTTAAATCTTGACCTGTTTTTAAAATATATAGAATAACTGGTGAAAATAATAGCTGATTTTATCGTTTTCTGGATTAATAACCTTGACCACCAAAAGTTTGGAAAAGATGTATGTATTTTGAGATTTCCTCAGAAAACATGGCTATTATGACTTGTGAGTTTGGCTGTTTGGATTTGTGTAGCTGAGAATATAGAGTTTACAGGTTTATACTTTCTGCAGAGATGCAGTTCTTAGGGATGAGATAGCTCACAATTCAGTCTGACTTTGTGTTTGAATCTTTAAAATGTCCCAACTAAGGTAGGCGTGGTGTACAATCTAGAGCCCCAGTTGCTCTAGAACTCAGACTTCAAAATCAGGCTTGGCAACACAGCAAGATCCTGACTCAATTTTTTTTTTAAACTACTTGCCTCTTAGTGAGAGGTAACTGAGAGTACTGAGTCCCTGCTTGCTGTCTTCATTCTGTATAGTTTAAAGCCTGTACAAAAGTTTGCATTTTACTTGTTTAAAAAAAATGCCAGAGTATTATTTTTGCTTTGGAAGAAAAAAATTCTGGACAAGAGAGTAATTTAGGGACTGGAGAGGTGGCTCAGTGGTTAAATCTTGTGAAGGACCCAGGTTTAAGTCTCAGCACTCACAGGGTGACTCCTAATGATCTCTAACTCCAGTCCTAGGGATGCGATACCATCTTCTGGCCTCTGCAAGTGGTGCACAGACAAGCGGGGAAAACACCCATACACATAAAATAAACTACAATTTTAAGAGTAGTCTAAATCCCTGAAGGTCTAAGGGTTGCTCTCTGTGTGAAGTAAGCAGGTAGGTGAGTGCTTTTACAGCTTGGATCCCCAAGTGACATATTCTGAAAAGAGACAGTGATCTTGAGCTGTTGGGGAACACTAACCCATGAGTACAAACTTTTTGTTTATTTAAAAGGAAGTATAAGTGGGTTTGCTGCCTTATGTCTGTACCCAGCATGTGGGAAGTAGCTCAAGCAGGAAGCTTGAGGCCAGCCAGCACTAGAGCAAGAAAGATGAAGTGCATTTCAGGCATTAGAATTGAAGTTGATGTTAGTTTGCTGCTTCTATTGTAAGGGGAGGAAGCTACTAGGGGAACTACAGGGGCTTCCTCTTCTCCCGCTCCCCTTCCCCCCAGGTTTTGCATGGGGCTACCTGTTAGTGATAGTATGTGGAGGCTCCCTGAACCACACTTAGAAGACCTGCTGTTGATCACAGGCTGGGAGGCCTGTTTTGATGGGTAAATAGTGGAATCTTGGACTGAACTTTTAGGCATTTTTGAAGCATAATTGGTGGTAGCATGGGTTTGCTTTCATTTTTAGCAGTCAGACTCTCCTGCCTTTGGTAAAGGAAACTCAGCTGCTTTACTTTGGTTTGCTATTGAATTTTACTTTGGGTGAATTTGGAGTAGCAGGAGGCACATTGTATTTTTTTATAGTGCGAAGACTCCAAAAGATAGCTTTGTGAACTTTACCTTTTGATCCTGTTTGCTGTCCACTCTTAAATTTCTTCTTCTGTGTTGTCTGTTGTGTCAGCTGTTGTAACTGAGTGTGCGTCCATCCTGTGTCCAGGAAACTCAGTCTAGTGAGGTGAGATTGGCCCTGAGAGCCTTATGTTCGAAGTCACACTCAGTTACTTCAGAGTAGTAGATATTGTAAGCAAGTGTGACTAAGGAAATGTCTTCATCCTGTGTCTTCCAGAATTGCTTAGGATAGGCCACAGGTATGCAAAGGATTCCTGTTTAGTGCCATGGTACTTACAGGTAACAGGAGGGATTAACTGAGCAGAGATTTCTGCCTACCTGTATCTTGCCAAGTCCTTTGCTGAACCCTGAACTCTGCATTGAGTCAGTGGACATGGCTCTACCCTCTTGGAATTCCCTTCATCAGTCATTGGTGCTAAATACTGATGAGGAGTCTGAAAAGCAAACAGAAAAAGAGTGATCTTCTAGCACTACCTAGCACCTTCAGATGCTTAAATCTAATTGCTTAAAAATGTTATGGGCTAACAAGATGGCTCAGTTGGCGAAGGTGCCTGCAACTAAGCCAGATGACCTAAATGTGTTCCCTAATCCCACCTGGTGAAGAGAGAACCTACTCCTGGAAGTTGTCCTCTGACCTCCATGTGAATGGCACAAGCACCCTCGCTCACACACAATAAATAAATATGTAATAAAGAATTGTAAAATATTTTTTATTAGGACAGGGGAGATGATTCAGTGGTTGAGAGCATTTGCTGCACAAACATGAGAACCTCAGTTTGGACCTGAGCTCCAATGTGGAAAGCCAGGTGTGGCCTAGCCTAAGGCTAGTTTCAGCTTCATTGAGACTTGTCTCAAGGAAATAAGGTGGAAAGTGATGGTGCAAGATACACTTTGTCCTTTGACCTCCACATGTGTGCACAGGGGCACACAACATCACACATCCCCAAAATAAAACCTTGTCAGATAATAACTGTTACATGTGGAGGTGGTTGGGGGGTTTTTTTTTTTTTTGAGTTTTTTTTCAGTTTTGCTTCAAACAGCACATTTATTGTGTTGTAGGCCAGAGGTTGGAAGTATAGAGTCAATCAGAGTATTAGGCCATGTTTTCTTTCAAAACCTGCAGCAAGGGTTGGTGGCTGTAGATCCTTGTCTGCAGCTATATTATTTCAATATCTGCCTTTGTCAACACTTGGGGGTCTCCATTTGTTTTATTGTTTATTTTAATGACAAGATCCTAGCTGACTTGTATGTAGCTGATGGTAAGTCACTATTCCATTTACTTAGTATTGGTGTCAAACCCAGACCTGGTGCATGGCCTGGGTTGTTTGAGATCATCTGACTTCATTCTCACTCCCTCAGGGTCCTGTAGGTATGTTCTACTAAGTCTGACTTCCTAAGGTTTACTTTGTAATTTTCTGAGAGAGGTTCTCCTGTCTCATTTGAGGCTGACCTTAATATTCTGACTCTGTGACTTCAGCCTCCAGCAGGCAGAGATTATAGAGATGGTTTAGTTTTGTGGTAAAGACTGGTTTAGGGGAGCTGGAGAGATGGCTCAGCGGTTAAGAGCATTGCCTGCTCTTTCAAAGGTCCTGAGTTCAATTTCCAGCAACCACATGGTGGCTCACAACCATCTATAATGAGGTCTGGTGCCCTCTTCTGGCCTGCAGGTACACATGTGGACAGAATATTGTATACATAATAAATAAATAAATATTTAAAAAAAGACTGGTTTAGTTAAGATTTGTGATAAAGGCTAAAAGATGAAGGAAGGACATATATACTAGATAATAGACATTAAGTATTGTTTAAATTAGTTTAAACATAAAGACTACTGGTGTGTGTTTAGAATCACATATACTCTTCTTCTTTTAGTTAGGGCCAGGAGACCATAACAGTTTTGAGACAAAGTTTTATGTATCCCAGGCTGGCCTTGAACTCAAAGTAATCTTCCTGGCTCCCTTTTGTATTTAACAACTCAGAAATTAAAAAGATAAATGAATGTTGACTAGTCGCCCTTTCCTTTCTTCTTTTTTTGGGAGTGGAGTTAGGCACTCTGCTTGTTGGGCAGTGATTTACTACTGAGCTGCATCTCTAGCCCAATTACCAACGCACTGTGCACGTCCGGGAATCTGACCCTGGGGGCTTAAGTGTTTCTGTGTGCACTTTGCATACCAGGAGTGGTGATGGACTGTGTCCTTTGTCTTGGCCTCACTCACTGGCCAGGGGAAATTGGGATGTCCTAGGGGCCTTTTCTGATTCCTTCTTTGAACAGGTCATTTCTTTGCTCCTTTGACATGGTCCTAAGTTGCTGCAAGTCAGTATTCTTATAGAACCTGAGTACACATCCTAAGCTTCGCTAGGTCATTCTGTCATCTTTCTGACTGAACCAAGTTACTGTTCTTTAGGGTTCTTTATGTGTATGTACATAATGCTCATATGCAATATGTAGAGGTCTGAGGACATCTTTTGGGAGTCTGTTCTCTCCTCTCAGGTGGGGTACAGTAATCAAACTGAGATCATCAGTCTTGATGGCAAGTACATTTATCCACTGACCTATCTCTTCAGGCTAGTTTTGGTTAATAGTAATCATTTGCTTATCTTGTGGTAAGACTTTGAGAGTCTTTGACTTTATGAAGACAGATAATATATAAAGCCTTTCTTTGTCTTTCAGGGGTGACAGTTTAGGTGATAGCAGTTGTTAAGAGCACTGACTGCTCTTGCAGAGGACATGGCTTTGGTTCTCATGACTAATGTGGTGATAAAAACCACCTGTGATTCCAGTTGCAGGAGGATCTTGTGCCCTCTTCTGGCCTCTTGGGTATTGTGCACATAGGCTATACCTGCATAAAAGGTTTTTTGTTGTTGTTGTTTTTATCTTTAAGAAGTGGCCAGTTTAAAGTTTGCCTCAAAAATTTAAAAAATTTTTCCTTTGAAAAGTTTTTGATGTTTGGGGAAATAAAGGAGATGAATCTATAATAGGACTGTTGTGTCTTCCGGAAATAAAAACGCAGCATGTTAGTCCTGGAAGGGAATCTAAACCTATGTATTTTATTAACTTAGGATTTCCTGGTGTCCGTTATAATCTAACTTGATTGCCAGGAGTTTGGTTTGGTTTGAAGACTGACAATTTCTGTAGCCCAGGCTGGCCTGTAATTTGCCATATAACCTGTATAACCATACTTTTAAAGTCCTGGAATTACAGGCATGCATCAGTATGTCTGACTCTTGATGCCTTTTAAAAGGAGTTTGCCTAACAAGACTTAATACTGTGGCTTCATAAAACTAGCATTAAACTTATCATTCCAACCTTTAAAATAAAATGGATTTTTCTCTCATACCTGCAAATTGATAGTTCTTTATGACTTTCAGTGTTTGGTAAACACAATAATGGATGGTTCATGGCTAAGTGAGCTGGCCAAGTGAGTTCAGAATGACAGGGCAAGATAGTCTATGCATGTGCCATAGAGGTGGGCAGGCCTGCTTTACCACTGTGGTGAGGCAAATGACCTTCATAATTGCTTCAGGTGGTATGACTTCTAGGTTAATGGATGGCAAGACCCAGGTGCAGAGGAAGGCTATATAGCTGGGAAAGGATGGTGGGCTGGGAGTGTGGTCTAGAGAAGGTCCTGTTAGTCAAAGAAAGGTAATGGGGTACTGTAATTACATAGCCAAAGTGTAGGAAGTGCAAGAGTGTTACAGCTCAGCAGTATTTATTGGGATCTGCTCATTCTTTAACCTAGAAATCTTCCATAAAAATCTTGCTATCTAAGTTAAGAACGGCAAGGGCTGAGAACCACACTAAGGTGTTCATGGAGACCATGAACCAAAAGTGTATGGTAGAAAAGCTTCTGTCTTGGCCATCTGAGCAATAGTGTTTGTTGGCATTGAGAGTGATGAGCTTTATAGGGTGGATATAAGGAATGTAGATCCTAGCTGGGCAGTGGTGGTGCACGCCCATAATTCCAGCACTCCTGAGGCAGAGGCAAGACGGATCTCTGTGAGTTAAAACCAGCCTGGTCTACAAAAGCTAATTCTAGGACTGACTCTAAAGCTACAGAGAAACCCAGTCTCAAAAAAAAAGAAAAAGAAAAAGAAATAGCCAGGTAGTGGTGACACATGCCTTTAATCCCAACTCTTGGGAGGCAGAGGTAGGTGGATCTCTGGACTGTAGAGCAAGTCCAGGACAGCAAGGGCTATACAGAGAAACCCTGTCTTGAAAAATAAAAACAAACAAAAATTTATTCTAGGACTTTGGTGATCCCGGCATTGGGGGAGGCAGAGGTCAGCCTGGGATACAGAGTAAGTGTTCCCAGACAGAAAAAAAAAAAACCTGTCTTGAACAAAAACAGAGACAGTAAGTCATGTGATGTGTTTTTGTGCCGGGGCGGGGTGGGGAGGCAGCCTTGACAAAAATACCTTTCTTCCAAAGTGGAAGCATGAGAATTTAGAAATATAGTAAAGAATACAAAGACGCGAACGAAAGTAATAAAACGCAGAAACCATAGGATAGTTTCAGGAGGGAATTTCAGTGAGTACTGAAAATTCACCGTGTTTTATTTTCCAACAGTTTAACATACCCCTTATTTCAAAAGGTAGGAGTAGAACAAAAGGACATACTAATGAAAAGTCATGGAATACAGTCATCCTCACACTTTTGACTCAAGCCCTAGGCAAACCACTCCCTGGGTGGAATCCCAAGTTATTTCCATAAAGGGAACTAGAACTTAGTTGGATCTTTAGGCTTTTGTTTTAGGTAGGAACCAACTTCTTCCCTATTTCAGGAGCACAGGTCTGGCACTAGCCTCACCTATTGACAGTAGCCTTGAGAGAGCAGAGCGCTGATTTACAACTTGGTGGGACCTTTGAGTTAGAAGCACAGTAATCTTGAATGAACTAAAAACAAGTCCCATACTCTGACCTTTGGCCTCTTTGGCCTCCACATTGTGCATTTTATTTTGAGAGAGGATTTTACTGGCCTGAACCTCAATTTGTAGATCAGGGTGTCATCCTTGAATACTTGGCCTGTGCCTTCCAAACACTGGGATTAAAGGCATGGGCCATCTGCACACATTTTATTTTGAAACAATAAAAACCTAATAGAAGATGGAATTGAGTTAACTGTAAAACAGTTGTACATCACTCTTTCTGGAACCGTTTTTCTTAAGTCTCCTGTTTTCCTGCACCAGCACAGCTTTCAGAAAGTCCTCCTGTGTGCACTGGACAAGTGGGAAGGACTTTTTGTATGATGCCTCAACTCATCACACCTTTAAAGTAAAGAAGCTGCCTTGAGATCAAACATTCCTATACAGTAGCCATGTGGAGTGTCACACAGTTTTTTAAAGTGCAGAGGACATAAAAGATGAGGGCAGATAGAATTAGCATTACTCTATGTATTTGAGAGACAGTTTAAACAACAGTGAATGCTTTTGAATTGTTTGAGTTAGAGTTGCTTTGTTGATCTGCTAGATTTATTGTAAAAAGAAGGCAGGTTAGGGTTCTGTTTTTTTTTTACTGCGAAGTCTGGTCACTTTAGTGTTAGTAAGAATGCTGTGGATCTAGCTTAGTTTGTAGTATGCATGAAGCCCTGGGTTTGATACCCAGCACTGAGTAAACTCAGCATGATGGTGCGTGCTTGTAATCCTGGTTCAGGGGAGGTGGAATTGGAGGGACAGAAATTGTGTGGGAGGTCAGTCCCAGATGCATGGGATGCTTTCTCAAAAATAAAACGATAAAAGTTTTGCATACAGGACGTGAGACTTAGATTTTATTTTTTGACATGGTCTCACTATGTAGCCCTGTCTGACCAAGAACTCTCCACACTGGCCTCAGATTTACAGAAATCTGCTTGCCTCTTGCCTCCCAGTTGTTGAGATTAAAGACGTGTACAGTCTAGTGAAACCTGATCTTAAGTGTACCCATCTATGAGATTAGACACGTATGTGCTCAAATAACTTCAGGTCACATCTGGGGCATTTCTTTTCCTTCACCTGCAAAATGGTCTCAACGGCCACATCTGGTAGATTGCCATGATTAAATGATGTTGGAAGAGTAATACAACGTTTTTCGGTGAATGTAACTGTTAACTTCTCATTTTTAGGTGACAAAGACGTTCAGATGGCAGAAAACAGGTAAGCCAAAATGAACTTTGTTTATTGGACTTAGGTTTAGGTAGGGTGCTGCTGTCTGCTGTAATTCAGAAACTAGAATTCAAAATTAAATAATTTAAATGTCAAGTGGTAATGGCCCGTTCTCTCCCTTTTGCTGGCTAAGAAATTGATGTCAGATAACAACTGTCTTAGACACTGGTATTTGGAGACCTTGTGTAGATATAGTTCCTGTCCTCCTTGACTTTTAACTCCTACCTCCTCACCCTTGATGAAATCCTTGATAAAATCCTGGTAGCTACCTGGTGTAGCTACCAGGGATGGAAGGATTTTTTTTTTTTTTTTTTTTTTTGGTGGGATGTTCAAGGTCAGTGTTGGTTGAGTGCCTGTTTTAATTTTTAGTTGGCGTAAAAGATAATAGATTTTATCATAACATTTTCATGCATGTCATTATATTTTGCTTATATTTACCCTTAATTTCCTCATAGCTCTGTCTACTTTCATGTCACAGAGATGCCCTGAATGGGCTTGTTCTCTTCATGAAGAGTTATACATGGCTCTCTGGTAGCTGTGAGGACTGTGTTTGTGAAGCCCACTGATTTCCGTGATGCTGCATGGTTGGCATTCAGAGCGTTGTGACCATTGTGTCTACTGCACAAGGCCACTTGGATGCACTGCTGACCATATGGGTAGCATGTTATTTGAGTGGTGTGATTAAAGTATTATAGGCTGATTATACAATCAAGAGATTGACTGTTAAAATAAAAATTAGAGGGCTGCAGAGATGGCTCAGTGGTTAAGATTGTATATAGCTCTTGCAAAGACCTAGGTTTGGTTCCCAGAACTCACATCCGGCAGCTCACAAGCTCTAGTTCCAGGAATCTGAGGTCCTCTTCTGACTGGCCTCCACTGACATTATACTTGTCCATACACCCACATGTGGACATGCATAAACATATTTTTTGTTCTTGGGTTTTGTTTTTTTTTAAATATTTTATTTATTTATTACATATACAACATTCTGTCTCTATATACACCTGCACGCCATAAGAGGGCACCAGATCTCATTACAGATGATTGTGAGCCACCATGTGGTTGCTGGGAATTGAACTCAGGACCTTTGGAAGAGCAGGCAATGCTCTAAACTGCTGAGCCATCTCTCTAGCCCTCTTATTAAACTCTTAAATAGTAAAAATGAGATAAAAAACTTGTCACCACAGTACCCATGATGCCAGGACTACTGATACTGAGTTAGACCCTGTCTCAAAACAAAAAGGGGAAATTAAGAAGCTTTAGCAAGAGTTGCAGATTAGTGCGGAACATCCTGTGTGTTGGGAGGGGAGCTAGGTGGGTATGATCTTTTTTTCTTTTTCTTTTTCTTTTCCTTTTTTCTTTTTTCTTTTTTTTTTTATCCTTCGAGACAGGGTTTCTCTGTTTCTGGCTGTTCTGGACCTTGCTCTGTAGGCCTCTAACTCACAGAGAGATCCACCTGCCTCTGCCTCTGGAGTGTTGGAATTAAAGGTGCGTTCCACCACACCTGGCTGGTTATGATCTTTTTAGATGGAATTCTCCCTTAGTTAACTCACGTTTGTCAGTGTTGTCTTTTTTCCTTTTTGTTTGTTTGTTAGTTGTGCCCCCGCCCCCATGGGTCTCATGTAGCTCTAGCTGTCCTGATACATCTGCCTCTTTCATGTGCTGGGATTAAAAGCATGCACCACCATACCCAGTCAGTGTTATCTTCATCTGACCTGAGGTTCCTTGCTGCTCGGATCCCTAGTACATTGGAAAATCACTGAAAATGCCAGATGATGCTGTCTTTAGGACTCTGTTTATAATACTTTGTAAACTTGTTTTAGTCTTTCAGATGGAAGCCCTGCAGATTCTGTGGAAGCTGCTAAAAATGCCAGTAGTACAGGTCAGTGCTATGGATAAAGCAGTGATTGAGAGTTTCCATGTGTGTCTGTGAGTCTCTTCCAGAACCACCTGTTATAATAATTATCGTAGCAGTAAAGGCTTTCTGTCTTTAGTGATTAGAAATTCAGACTCCATGAAAGAGAACGCCACAACCCTGCTCCTGTGCTGGCCTTTACATGATCTGGGCACCAGAATGTTAATCAGACTTGCACCTTCAGCTTTCCTCTCCTGCTTATTTTGAAGCCAAACCTAGATGTGTCATTGTGTTAATAAATTTACACAAACTGTCTATGTGATGGGTTAGCAAGGTGTCTCAGCTTGTAGTATTGCTCTTTGTTTTAGTTCCAAGAATCTACTGTGGGAGGCAAGAACCAATTCCCAAAAATGACCTCCTGACCTCCACACACAGTCTCTGGAGCATGTACACCTGTTCTCATGCACATTGCATGTCTGATTGAACACATCCATATAATGATGATAAAATGAAAAAAAAGTCTGTATCTGATCTGGGTGTGGGGACTGTGTAGTCTTGACTGTCTTGGAACTCACTTTGTAGACCAGGCTGGCCTCAAATTCAGAGATCCATCTGCCTCTCCCAAGTGCTGGGATTAAAGGCATGTGCCACTACATCTGGCTGAGAATGTGTTTTTCTAAAGTCCTGCTTGGCATGGCATTTCCCTGCTCAGCCTCTTCAGTAGGTGGGGTGACAAGCCTGAGATCCATGTTGGTGTTTGGGTTCTTGGCTGCTGAATAACTCTACTGTCTTTCCAACTCATAGAAAAGCTCACAGACCAGGTGATGCAGAACCCACAAGTGCTGGCAGCTTTGCAGGAACGTCTCGACAATGTCTCTCACACTCCTTCTAGCTACATAGAAACGTAAGTACATTGTCAGTGAGATGTCAAGCAACAAAACAAACATCTCCATGCCTCAGAGTAGGAACAAGTATGGTTTTCATTTCTCAGGATCAGCTAGCTCATCTTGTCTACTTGGTGATGCACAGTGCCACCTTGTGGATTGTAGAGAACTCAGCTAATAAGCTCGTGCTGGTAGAGTGCTGGCTAACTGCTGGACACCTATACCTTTACCCTTGTTAGGAGGTCCATGTTGTGGCCTTGTTGTACAGTAGAAATAGATACCTACTCTGGGCAGCACTTCTCAGGGCTTCCTTGTCTGCCTTCTAGAAGAAATGAGTCACCTCAGACTCCGAGCCATAGCTGCTACAACTGGAGGAGACACTGCACATTTCCTTGTGTCCACTTAGAGGCCTTTTTGGCTTTACTTAGTGGATACAGGTTGTCTTTGTCCTGTTTTGCTTTTCTTATGTTGGGTTGACTCCAGCTTCTAATGCACAGGTACCTTATATGCAGTTGTTGTTTTGTAGAGTAGGTGCGGGTGTAGTCCAGGAGTTGAGAATGATGTCTGGTTATCTGGCGATTGTAAGTGTGCATATGGAGTGGCATTTGCTCACTAGGATGGAGCACAGGGTTGTGACAGCTTGTGAGCACAGCCTCATATATGTGTTGGTTGGCTTTGAATGGTGTTTGGGCCAGCACTGAGTGCTTATATGGACTCTGCATTCAGATTTTCTGTGAACAAGTTTTAACCTGGGGGCACTATTTTGGGGGATTTTAAATAATTTTATAAAGTTCAATTTTTTCTTTATTTTTATTTATTTATTTGTTTGTTTGTTTATTTATTTATTATGTATACAATATTCTGTCTGTGTATCTGCCTGCAGGCCAGAAGAGGGCATCAGATCTCATTTCAGATGGTTGTGAGCCACCATGTGGTTGCTGGGAATTGAACTCAGGACCTTTGGAAGAGCAGGCAATGCTCTTAACTGCTGAGCCATCTCTCCAGCCCCTATTGTTTGTTTGTTTGTTTGTTTGTTTTTTTTGTTTTTTTTTTTTGAGACATGATTTCTCTGTGTAGCCCTGGGTTTCCTCGAACTCATTCTAGACCAGACTGGCCTCAGAATTTAAGAACTACCTGCTTCTGCCTCCTATGTGCTGGGATTAAAAGCATGTGCCACCACTGTCTGGTATGTTTTTTTCTTTTGATTTTAGGAGTGTTCATACAAACAAAAAATAAATTCTGGAACAGAGGCAAAGAAACTCTTAGCAGGTGTAATTAGAGGAATTGTATGTGGATGCCTGTAGACTTCATGCATGTGTCCATGCAGTTTTAGACAGCCAAAATCAGGGCCTGTGTGCCTGTTGGCTTGCCTGTGTCTGGTCCTTGTCTGCGATTTGGTTTTTGCTGTTTATTTCATCCTATTGTGTATGTGGAGAGGTTAGAGGACAGTATGAAGGAGTTGATTTTGTCCTTCCATCTTGTTAGTCTTAGGAACTTAACTCAGGTCATTCATTATACTTGGCAGCAAGTACCTTCACCCACTGAGCCATCTCTTTGGTGGGTTTTCTTTATTTTAAATTATGAATGCATATGTATGCATACACATTTGACTGCAGATGCTCATTGGAGACTATAGGCATCAGATCTCCCGAGAGGTGTAGTTTTAGGTGGGTAAGCTATTCAACATGGGTGCTAGGAATTGAACTCAGGTCTTCTGTAAAAGCAGCAAATACTCATAAATGTTGAGCCATCTCTCTAGTCCCCGTCTTTGTTTTCCTGGAAATTGAACAAGGACCATCTGCATGTTAGGTTGGTGTTCTACCTGTGACCTACACTCTTCCTCCTTGGTCTCTATGTAGCCCAGAATAACCTACTCCTGCTACTCTTACTGCTGTGGCCTTCTACATGGTGGAATTACAAGTGTGCCCAGCTTCCTTTGGTCTGTTTTCATCACCAGTTTGGTTGGGACAAAAGAGCAGTTTTACAAACTGATCCCCTATTTCTGCTTTTGAGATGAGATGACCCTGTTTTTCCATCTGGCAGTTTGTCTTTTCTGGCTTCCTTAGTCCCTCCCTCCCTCCTTCTCTCTCCTTCTCCCCTCTCTCTCTTTCCCTCCCTCTCCCCCCCTCAATATCTCACAGGGTCTTTCTGTGTATCCCTGGCTGTCCTGGAACTTCTTGAATAGACCTGGCTGGCCTCGAGCTTACAGAGATCCACCTGCTTCTGCTGGAATTAAAGGCGTGTACCACCTGGTTTGACAGAGTCTCTTCTTTTCTCTAGGCTTGTTTGCATATAGGGTTTTGGCAGCTCTTTATAGTCAGGGTGTCTGTTTATGTGCTGGTTGTTTGCTGGCACTCAGTGCTTTATTTCCCATTGTCTTATAGTTTACCCAAAGCCGTCAAAAGGAGAATTAATGCTCTGAAGCAGCTCCAGGTGAGGTGTGCGCACATAGAAGCCAAGTTCTACGAGGAAGTTCATGACCTGGAGAGGAAGTATGCAGCCTTGTACCAACCTCTCTTTGACAAGGTGTGTACCATTGATGTGTTTGCCTCATGTGGTCATTCCTGTGGTGTGAGACACAGTACCACCCAGAGACTTTGTGTTTTCTTAGCTTTTGAGTTTGCAGAGAGCCTAAAGTGCTGATGGACTCTTGACTTTTAATGCAGAGAAGAGAATTCATCACTGGTGACGTGGAGCCCACGGATGCAGAATCAGCGTGGCACAGTGAGAACGAGGAAGAAGACAAGTTGGCTGTGAGTTTCTGTTGTGGAATGTTTAATCCTAGTTACTTTTGTGGTATTGGAGGGTGAACTCAAGGCCTTGTTCTTATACTCATTGTTTCTGTCAGCAAAGTTTTGTAGAGCAGTCCTGCAGTTGTTCCCTTCTCTTTCACTGGGTGCATGGTTTCTTGGTGACACTCTGACATCAGAGACAGTGCTGTTGTTTCTCGTAAGTGAGTTCTGGACCTTTCTCAGTGGTTAGGCAGGCAAAAATTGCTTGTAGTGAGCCAGACATGATTGAACATGCTTCTGATCCCAGCACTAGAGAGATAGGCAGATAAATATCTGAGTTCCAGGCCACCCTGGTCTACATAGTGAGACCCTGTCTTCAGAACAAAACTAACTGTAACATCAGTGAAAGTCTGAGCCCAGAGGAGGTGAAAGTTAGCATGGGTGAGAACTGTACGTGTTCCTCCTTACTAGTGAGTAGGCATACCTGGAGGGGTGGACTATCTGGAGACTTAAGGCTGTTCAGCTTCACTCTTGTCTCTAGACCAGCAGGTAGGTGATTGACCAGCATCATGATGTTCTATTCATTTTCTGTGAGAGTTTCATTCAAATGCCATGTAAAGTTCCAGCATGGTGCAAAGTTAATTTTAACTTCTGTCCTGGTTTGTTTGCTTTTTTAAAGGTACTAGGGATGTAACTCAAAGGTTCATAAGCAAAAGGCAGGTTCTCCATATCTGAGTCACACCCAAGCCCCTGTCAGCCTAATTTTGTGGTTAGGTAATAGGTAGTTTTGGTTTAGTAGAATTCTTTCTTAGGGATCTATTTGAAATATGTTTAATTTTTGTGGCTATATGGCTTTGTTTTTGTTTTGTTTTGTATCCCTGCTTGACATGGAACTCACTGTGTATATCAGGCTGACCTCAAACTCAGAGATGGCATATGCTACCACATTCAGCATAGCTGTGGTTCTGTATTAGTTTGCTCTGTATGACCCATGAAAAGCTCATTTTGATGGTTTAACAGTCTCTTCATTTTGCTACATCATAGACTGTTGTAACAAGCAATCAGAATCACTTGGTTCAACTTCCTTTGATCGACTTTCTTCCTGAGGCTATGTTACAAACAAGTCTCTTTTCCATGGTGCTATGTGGCCTTTGTGGTCACAATGCTGGTGTTTGCCCAGAATGTCTACCCTAACGTGCTCTTTCTCCTGGGAGCTGCATGTCCAAATTACTGAATAGTTTTCTGATTACAGTGCTGCTGCAGCAAACAGGTTTTCTTGGGGTTTGTTTGTTTGTTTGTTTGTGACAGGATCTCATTATAAAGCCTTGGCTGACTGGAACTTGATCTGTAGACAAGGCTACTCTCAAATTTATGGTAGTCCTCATGCCTCTGCCTCTCAGGTGCTGGGGTAATAGGTGTGTACTACCACTCCTGGCCTGAACTAGGGCTTTCTCCACCCTTATATCGTATGGATATGACTCTGTGTGTGTCTGCTCGAAGCTATTGTAGTGTTCATTGTATGATGACAGGAAGCTCACCAAGAAAGACTGGACATTCTTTCACAAGTCTGGTGGCAATTTGCCACCTTTTCCATTTTCTTCCCTTGATAGGACATTTCATTGTGAAATTACATGTGAACATAGTGCCATGAATGCCTTTTCCAACTCCGTGGTGTGTAGACATACAGAAGGAAAAGGAAATGTGTGATAGATCCTGAAATAATGTCTTTCAGTAAGACTTGAGCTGTGTGTAAATTTGTGTTTTCAGTGACTTTTGTGTTCTGACTCTGTTTTGTAGGGAGATATGAAGAATAAAGTAGTTATAGCTGAGAAAGAAGCAGCAACAGCAGAAGAGCTGACCCCCAAAGGCATCCCTGAGTTCTGGTTCACCATCTTCAGAAACGTAGATATGCTTAGTGAGCTGGTGCAGGTGAGGGGCTTCTGCCCGGTGGGTACAAGTGGGAAAAGATTGGGGTGATGCACAACTCCTACAGTATGTTGAGGGATTTGCCTTAATATTACACACTGCTTACTTGGATGCTGGGAGGTCCTTTTAGGAGGATGAAAAGTCTCCTCTTGGGGGCTGGCGCTTGGACAGCAACTCTGATCCCAAGGGAAGTGGTCTTTGCTGGAGGGACTGCATTCTCTTTTGCAGTTCTTGGCAAGACTGACAATTCTGTTCATACCAAGCTCGAGAGGCAGTCTTCTGCAAAGTCCAGCACTGCACCTAAGACCTTCCTTGTTCATGATTCTTCCTGTGTGAAAGCAGGGAGCTGGGGTGAGATTCTCACCTCCATATTGGTTCTCATTTGTGCCAGTTAGATGGGCAGTAGGCTGCTAGGTATTCAGGTCGGGTGCGTAGTGTGAGGCATTATCAATGGGGAGCTCCATGCTCCGTCTGTCAGCCTCAGAGATGTGATGGCTTTTGGTGTAGCCTGCTTCCAGAACTGTCTTTGGGTTTTTTTTTTTTTCTTCTTTTAAATAACTACTAAATGAACTCCCCTTGCTGGTTTGGTTTTATCCTGTTAATGTCAAAGGAACTTAAAATCGGGAAGGTAACCTTTAGTGGGCTTAATTCCTAGAGCTTTATTTAATGCCGATCTCAGAGTTAAAAAAATAATAATCTACACCTGTCACAAGTGTGTGTCATTTTGAGGATTCAAGTCTTTTCATTCCTTTAGCTTTTTCTCATGCTTTCACAGTGATTATTGCTTAGACTTGTACTATAGCACAGGTCTTTATAGTACAGATGTAAGCAATAGCCATTGTGAAAGCATAGAGTCATGCAAGTTGTTGGCTCCTGTATGTTAGGCTTCGACATAATCTGTAATCTTTATAGTAGTGGCTTATACAGATTTGGGATATTTATTGTCACTGGTGGATATTGTGCAGGAAGACCTGCAGCAAACTTAGCCATTCCCTTATCTCCAAGCCTTTTGCCTTGTCATCTCAGATGCCAGAAATCTTGGTGACACTGTGCCAACTTTAGTGTCAAGTAGTGGCAGGAGAGCATGGGGCTTTCCTACAGCCAGCATTGGTGGTAGCAATGGTGCCGCTCTAGAATCAGGTGGCAGCTGTTTCTTGGCATGTTATTAATGCCACCAGAGATACATAATGAACAGATTATTGCTTTCTAGAAGTTAATACTGGACAAAGACAGAATTCCAATAGGGACAATTGCCTAACATCTGGGACACTTATAACTATGACTGTCATGAGTTGTGGGCTGTTATTCAAGGTTCTCTCTCTTTTAGGAATATGATGAACCAATCTTGAAACATCTGCAAGATATTAAAGTCAAGTTTTCAGACCCTGGACAACCTATGGTGAGTGCTGACCATGCTCCTTTTTGATTGGCTAAGGTGCAAAAAGGTGTGATTCTTGTCATTTAAAGTCTTGAGCATGCGTGCTCATCAGACATCTTTTGGTGCTACTGTTGGCAGTGTGAGCTGGACTTTTGGCTAATAACATAGGCCATATCCTTTCCCAAGGCCGAGGAGTCAGCTGGAGACAAGACTGGTGACTGCTGGCCTGTGGTTATCACCTGGTCAGCCTCCAATTTAGTTGCTAGATTTTCTTGTTTGGTGGAGATGATCAGCACATCATACTTTTCCCAAGTGTCACATGGAGGTAGCAGGGTGTGATGGCCTGAGTTTATAATTTCAGGAGGGAGGTAGATTACTTGGATAAGGTCAGGACTAGCCTGAATCACAGCAGTGAGATCCCTTTTTAAAAGAATAGGAAGAGCATATATAAACGTGAACAACAGTAGTACAGAAATCTAGATACTAAGGAGAGTGACCTGCCGGGTTTAACCTAAAATAACCATTAGTAGATATGACTGAAAACTACTCTAACACGGCTTAAAAGCATGGAGGTGGTCTGGCCTCTGGGAAGATGGACTTAACCTAGAATGTGCAGGGCTGGTGCTTGCTGAGTCTGACCCTCTCCCCAGGAGCACTGTTCGTAACCTGTCAATCTTGCTGTGGTTGGTGGGTTCCATTCCAGTGCTACAGGATTTCCAGTGACACATAACTGACTGGCTGGCTGGTGGCTTTCAGTTTCAGGTCTTGGAGACACACATGTTATGAGGGACTAAGCAAAGAATCTTGAGAGGGACCTAGATCTGTCCTTTGATCTCTACCCCCAGGCCCTGGTATACAGATGGAGATAGGCCAGTGTGGGTAGGATTTCTTTATCCGCAGTCCTTCAGGGGCAGCTGTGCACATCTGTCTTTGCTTTGTGAGAGGTGACATTTGGCTGTTGTTCTGAAGATGGGGTCATGGGTAATGGGAGCTTAGCATGTTTGCTGCCTCCTTTGGTCAGGGGCTGCTCTCTTACTCAAGTGGCTGGAGAAGGTCCCTTCCTACCCAAGGCTCTGACTGCTGCCTGAGCTCTTGTCTTTCCTGAATAGGCAGTGTTGGGGTTCTCTGTGGTTTTTTACTTTCAGTTCATCCAAATTCAACTGTTATGCTTTTGCTTTCATATAAATCTTTTTATTATTGTGAGATAGCCTGGGCTAACCCAGAATATAGAGTAAGATAGCTTCAAATCTGTGGCCCCTACTTGCCTCTACTGCCCATGTCCTGGGATTACAGGCCTGTGCCACATTGACTGGCTGGTTTTTATTTGTTTGTTTTGTTGTTGTTGTTGTTGTTTTTTCCAGACAAGGTTTCTCTGTGTAGCTTTGGAACCTGTCTTGGAATTCGCTCTGTATACCAAGCTCTGGACTTGAATTCACAGAGATCTGCCTGTCTCTGCCTCCCAAGTGCTGGGATTAAAGACGTGTGCCACCACTCCCAGATTTGCTTACTTATTTATTTTTGTTTGTTTGCATATTTGTGAGTTGTCTGTTTTTTTTTTTCTCGCTGCCATGTGGCTTTGGTATACCTATTTTTCTGCAAGTATTGTCTCCTGTGTGCTGTCTTGAGTACTGTGCAGCTTCAAGGGAACAGTTGACTCTGTCCTCTCTATTCTCCTTCCATGAAAGATCCTGCAGAGAGGGAGGAGAAGGGCGGGGCTGCCAGTGCCAATTTCAGTAGAAAGGTCTGTAACCATGAGGTGGTTCCTTAAGTTTTGTTTGCAGACGTTAGGTCGTTCTGACTCTGCATCTTTGCTTCAGTCTTTTGTGCTAGAGTTTCACTTTGAACCCAACGACTACTTCACCAATCCTGTCCTGACGAAAACATACAAGATGAAATCAGAACCAGACAAGGCTGACCCGTTTTCTTTTGAAGGTCCTGAAATTGTGGACTGTGATGGGTAAGAACATGTCTTTCTAAAACAAAAGCAGTAATGCTTTTAGAATTTCAAATGAAGACTTGGGTGTAGGGGGTGCATGTTCAAAGTCAGTCTAAACTGTACAGCAAGATCTGTGTACAACAAAGAAAAAAGATAGAAAATGATATTAAAAATTAAAAAATCTTAGGGGTTGGAGAGATGGCTGTGCAATCAGAAGTTCAGACCTTAGTGCTCATATAACAAGCCAGGCATTCTGCCTACGTCTATAACCCCAGCTTTGAGAGGGCAGGGGACAGAAAAATTGCTGGGACTTGTGAGCTTCCAGCTTAGTCAAGAAAACATGAGCCCCACATTCCGGGTTATCCTGCTTCAAAGAGATTAAAGGCATATGCCACCATCACCCAGCAATAATTAAAAAATATATATCTTAAAAGTCTGTCTTGAAGTTCGGGTGCACTTTCAGGCTGTGCTCAGTTTTCTGTTTGAAAGGGCCCAGGTCTTGAATTCTCTAGACACCATGATTGAAGGGGTTTTGTTGTTTACAAGGCAAGTTTTTCTCTGCAGCCTTTCTTAGCTGTCTAGAACTCACTCTGTAGACCAGGCTAGCTTCAAACCCTGAGATCCTCCTGCATCTGCCTCCCAAGTGCTGGGATTAAAGGTAGGTGCTGCCACCACCAGACTTACTTGTTTATGTTATGTGACACTCTGGCACTAGAGATTTAGCACAGGACCTTTACACGTAAGACCAATTGCTCTACCACTGGATTGTGTTCTTAGCCCCAAGTTTTAAGATTTATTTTTATTTTTACACTGTGTGTTTGAGTGTTGTGTCTGCATGTGTATCTGTATACTATGTGTGTGCCTTGCCCACAGAGGTTGGAAGAGAGCATCAGATGCTCTGAAATTGGAGTTAAAGATGGTTGTGAGTTGCCATGTGGGTGCTGGGGAGCAAATCCTGGTCTTCTTGTTTAGCTCACCTTGAAGTGGTTTTTTTGTTTGTTTGTTTGTTTGTTTGGGTTTTTTTTGTTTTTGTTTTTTGTTTTGATCGTTTTTGAGACAGGGTCTGGCTGGCCTTAAACTTGTTTTGTGGACTAGGCTGAGCTTAGAGTTCCACACGCCTCTGTATCCCATGTGCTAGGATTAAAGCCTGTGCCACCATCATGTCCATGAAAGTCTCAAATTCCTAAGAGCATTAATATTTGTTAAGTGGTGAAATTTGATGCATGTCACAGCCCAGTGACAGCTTTGGAATTTGGCACTGCATCTACCACTTGATGCCTGTCAGTTTTAGTCTCTGGGCCACTTGGTAGAGATGCAGCTTAAATTTGACTTCTATGGGTATGTCTCACTGTTTGGGAAATTGACTGTTGAAGAGCTAGTTTAGTGTCGTTACTGTCATTAAATGATTTGGGCTTCATTAAAATCCCACTTGATTCAAAGGCTTGGAGTAATTAGGGCTAGGGAAGATATTTTCCTGAGGACAGTCTGTCTTGTGGGAGAGGTGTTATAGGAGACAACTTGTTTGCTCTTGGCTGCCCAGATAAATCACCGCTTGGCCTATTAGCTCTAACTTCTTATTGGCTAGCTCTTACCTTAATTTTACCCACTTCCATTCATCTGTGTATTGCCACGTGGCTGTGGCTTACCGGCAAGATTCTATCTAGCATTTGTCTCTGCTGGGGCTACATGGCTTTTCTCTGACTCTTCTTTCTCTGAGCATTCAGTTTAGTTTTCTCCGCCTAGCTTTGTTATACCCTGCTATAGGCTCAAAGCAGTTTCTTTATTCATTAACCTATAAAAGCAACACATATACAGAAGGACTTCCCAAATCAGAGAGGACTTGGCTTTATCATGTGTTCCTGATCACACATCATTCAGATACCACCAGATGTGAGAAAGTGGCTCCTGATGTCCTATTGACTTAGTGACTTCTGAGTTGAGTACTTGAGTGTTGACAGATATTTCTGTCCCGCCTGGGCCTGAAGCCATTTAGTCTCAAACACATAGAGATCAGAGATCTACATTTAATTATAAACTGGTTGTTCTATTTGCTCAGACTTTTATTAACTAATTTTTACATCAATTACATCATTACAATAAATTGGCCCACTCTTCTTGTATATGTTAGCCACGTGACTTGGTACCTTTATCAGTGAGGTGTTCTTATCTTGCTTTCTCTACATCTTGGCGACAATTGTAGACTGAGCTTTCTTCTTCCCAGAATTCTCCTGTTCTTGTTGCCCTGCCTCTACTTCCTGCCTGGCTACTGGCCAATCAGTGTTTTATTAAAAATACAAGTGACAAGTCTTTACAAAGTACAAGACCATTGTCCCACAGCAAGTGAGTGTGGTAATCCTCAGTTTGTTCAGAGACTGCGGGTGATGCGTTCTTGAACATTATACACACTTGGCAGGGTCTTACACCAAAGATACATTTCAGAATCTCTGTGGACCATTGTGGGTGAATGCTGTTGTCATTTCAGAGCTGTAAGGTTTTTGAGCATTGATTACTCCAGGATGATGGACCAAGCTAGCTTTTGTAAGCTGTCATACAGATGGACTTTAGGTTATTTTTCTTGGTTTGCAGATTAGTGGTGTCAGAAGTTCCACAGGGCTGTGGTTTCCTTCCTGGATAGTAGTGGGATTTCTCTTGGAGCAAGTGTCTATAACAGATGCCTTGTCCCTGCAGGTGTACGATTGACTGGAAGAAGGGAAAAAATGTCACAGTCAAAACCATCAAGAAAAAGCAGAAGCACAAGGGCCGGGGCACCGTGCGAACCATCACCAAGCAAGTGCCCAATGAGTCCTTCTTCAACTTCTTCAGCCCCCTGAAAGGTGGGCAGAGTCAGCTCCGTGTGTTATGTGAAGTTGTTCCCACATGTTGGCTTAGTTCTCAGGAATTGTGTGTGCACCTCAGGAGAGGATGATCCCTTTCCTGAGCATATGGAGGGGAACAGGCCAGCTTCCTAGGCAAGAGGCAGGTACAGTCTTAGAACCCTTCCTGGATCAAACCAGTCACAGTGCAAAGCTTCAGAATCACCGGTACAGCTTCTTTTTCCTATGAATTCAATTTTTCTTAGTTTTACACAATTTAATAGAGCACGGGGATTTATTTATAATTTTTATGTGATAAAGACAGTACATTGATTTACAGTTTTTAAAGGCTGGGAGCAAAACCGCAACACTGAAGCTTTTGTTTTCAAGCTATACAATGAAGATGAAACCTTGAGCCTTGTAGTTACTGCACTCTTGGCGGTTCAGAGAAAGTTTCTTGACAGACCCTTTTTCAGTATTATTAGAGCATGGGTATGAAGAGACAGGATTTTTTTGGTCATTTTCCACAAAGGGACCATCATTGGATATAAATGTCCATCTCTGCAGCCAAGGTCAGCAAATACAGAGTTATGTGTGCAGCATTAGGTGGGTCCCTCGCTTCGCTTGGTTTTGTCCAGAACTCACTGCTGTTGTCTACTACAATGCTTCTCATGGGACATTAGGGTGTTACTATTGTAATGGCCATTCCTATGATTTCTTTGAGCCCCAAAAATACAAAGTATATTGATTTTTGTAAATTAAAATGCCCATAAGCTTAGTGCTTAAGTTTCCTCTGTAAGGAAGTCCCTTTTGAGGACATTGACGTGTTGGACCAGGCTGGCTCTGTGGAGCTCAGGTAAAGGATTCTTGAGCCTTCAAGAGTCAGTTCGCTGAGCATAGTGGTGCACACCTTTATTACCAGCATTTGGGAAGCAGAGACAGGAGGATTTCTGTGAGTTCAAGGTCTGCCTGATCTACATAGTGAGTTTCAGGACAGCCAGGGCTACATAGTGAGGCCCTGTCTTGAGGAAAGATGAGAGAGCAGAGGAAGAAAGGGAGAAGTTGGCTTCTCTGGGAATTTTCTTAAACCTGTTTTTAAAGCATCAGCGAAAGTGGGATTGATAAGCAGACATGATGTTAGGTGGTGATTGACAGTAGCACAGCTCTGAAGTCAGCCCATTCCGTGTCCAGCCTGCATTTTCATCAGGCTGCACATAACAGGATCAAGAACGTAGGGTGGTAGAAGGGGGCAGATTGGTCCAGAAGGCAAGTGCTGGGGTGCTTGTCCCTGGGGAGTTGGGGTTCTAGCCCTCAGGCCCTGTGCCTTGCCTACATGGCAGCAGTCTCTTGTGCATAGTGCTCATACAACCAGCACTGTCATTGCAGCAGTGAATGATGCCAGGCTGTGACACTAAATGGTGTGAGAAGTGCTGCACCACAGATTGAACAGAGAGGATTGGATTAACTCAGCACAGTGCTAGTCAAGATCTAAATCATCTGTCAGGTGATGGTTCCTTTAGCTTCATGAAGTATGAAAAGGAGCCCACGTCTCCTTTTGAGCTGGTGAATGTCAGCACCACTCTGATGGTCTTGTGTATAGACAGACCCTCATGGATGAATCAGCCTTGACAAACTGTACTCCCTCTGCAGGATTGTCAGCCGACTGCACATTCTCAGACTTTTTTGACCCACAGCTTTCTCTAGCTGAAGTAGTGTATGGAGCTTATAAAATTATTTACAAGATGCTATGGTGCCTCATTGGGGTCTGACAGCTGTCTGCCAGGTGGGTTCCCTTCAGTGTGGATATTAAGACGTTGGTTGCCATTGTAATGTGTGTTGTCTTTTCTTTTCTAGCCTCTGGAGATGGAGAATCTCTGGTAAGATTTCCTGAATAGGCACTCTGATCCTATCCTGCTCTGTTTGTTTCTGTAGTTAAAGTGAAGTCATTATACCTTGGGCCTGGGGAGAAATGTTTGGTTTTTTTCATGCTTCTCCTTTACTCTTCACTAGAGACCCCAGTGTCCCTACTCTGAAACGTAGACAAATGGCAAAGATACAGCCCATCTGCTCTTTTGTTTTGCCTTCATGTTGTTTCATAGTATAATTTGAATATTGACTTTAAGGTCATTTTAAGGGGCTTTGAATGTGGTGACTGTTAACCCAGCAGTGTAAGTGATTCAGAGTAAGGGCTGAAGGTAGGGTAAAGGTGCTAAGTGTGTCTTTACTGAAATGAGTTAATGTGTTGGTTTTCTCTCTCAGGATGAAGATTCCGAGTTCACCTTAGCCTCTGACTTTGAAATTGGGCACTTTTTCCGTGAGCGAATCGTGCCACGGGCTGTCCTCTACTTCACTGGGGAAGCCATAGAGGACGATGACAATGTATGTGGGCCGGTGGATATGAAATACCCAAATTCCTATATGCAGCTAGGCAACTGATTTACTTAGTTTAGCCTTAGTCTTAGTTGGAGTATTTGTTACTGTGATGAAAAATCATGACCAAAAGCAACCTGGGGAGGAAGGGTTTCATCTTAAAGCCTGTAGTTCATCATCCAAGGAAGTAAGGTTAGGAGCTTGGAGGCAGGAACTGGTGCAGAGACCATAGAGGATTGCTGCTTACTGACTTGCTCAGCCTTACTTGTAACACCAGAACCATCAGCCCAGGGGTGGTAACACATTCAGTGAGCTGGACCCTCCCACATTGATCATTAATCAAGAAAATATACCTCTAGTATGCCTCTAGGCACCTCTCATGGAAACATTTTCTCAATTTGAGAGTTCAAATGACTCTAATTGCCTCTTTTGTAGTCTGAAGATAGAAAAGGAGCTTATCCAGCTTGCTCCAGCCACCAACTCTGTTACTCCTCCCCATCCTTAACTCTTGTTTTGAGCAGCTTTCAGTACTGGAAAGTCCCTCATCACACATCACAGTGCTGCTCTGCTGGGCTGAGCTGGGCCTGCAACAGCAGCATGTGCCTCTCGGACACCTGGATGGAGCGAGCCATCACTGCTTCTGTAGCAGCAGCACCAAGCTTTGTGCTACCTTTAGCATAGCAGGGTGCTTATAAGTTTGGTATTGGGGCTACATCATGGTTCTAGAAATTTAAGTTGTTTCTGTTTTCCCTTGCAGTTTGAAGAAGGCGAGGAGGGAGAAGAGGAGGTAAGGAAGTTGTATGCAGTGTTCTCCCCTCAGCCTTGTTGTGTGGCTTTGGCCTCTTTGAAGTTAAGAGGTCAAAGGTTCTTGCTCTGATTTTGACCTTGTTGTTACTTATAAAAATGTATCTTAGCTGGGTGGTGGTGTCACAGGCCTTTAATCCCAGCTCTTGTGAGTCAGAGACAAGAGAATCTTTGTGAGTACCAGGACAGCCAAGGACAACTGCGGCTACTAAGAGAAACCTGTCTCGAAGTACCCACCCCCCAAAGTACCTTAGTAAGCATTTATAAGCAATATCTTATCTTAATTTGGAAACACTTATGAAAACTTATCTGTGAAAACAAAAAGATACACAGAGTAATTGTTAGTGACTGGCTCAAAAGCAGGTCTCCACTGTGGTTTGCTTTTGGAAAGCAGAAACTACAGGAAACTGAACTTCTGGATCAATTTATTCAGCTAAGTCTGTCATCATCATCCCCCTTTATTTTTAAAGAAATAATTTTCTAAGGTTTAAAGAAATTTTTTTATTCATGCTCATGTGTCTTTACATATATGTGCACTTGCGTGCTGCTGGTTCTTGTTTAGTGCAGAAGGCATCAGATTTGATGAGAAATTTCCAGTGGTTATGAGCATATGAATTCAGTCCCTCTATAAGGGCAATTAGTGTGCTTAACTACTGAGTATCTCTATCTCTGATTTCCTTTGGTAAGACTGGTTTGAGTTAGTTGTACAGAATAAGCTGTGTGTCACTTTCTACATGTTCAGGTGATGCCCTTTGGTCACATCCCTAATCACCTTTTACTTTTGTCTCCTTTTAATACAGGAATTGGAAGGAGATGAGGAGGGAGAAGAGGAAGATGATGCTGAGGTTAACCCCAAGGTTAGTTATTTGAGGACTTCCTGAGCCTACCAGTATTGCACAGTGGGACTTTTGAAGCTGTTCCCATTTTGAGGCAGTGATGCTAGTAATACATATGTCCAAAAAAAATCTGCAGTTGAGGAAAGACACCTCATGTGCCTGAAGCATTAGGTGTCTGATTCAACGAGGTGTTGTTCTGCTCTATAGACTTAAGCATGTACCTGTGGCTTCCAGCTCTTCCTTAGAGGAGTGCTATAACAGGAAGTACCCATGTTTGTCTACAGAGGGCCTGGCGGGAATTGTGTGCTGTAATAAAGAGAACATTAGATTGTGGTCAGAACTTTACATTCACGCTTGCTGAGAAGATTCTGCAAATGGTTGTGATTGAAAACAGAACAGGAAGATTGGCTAAAGAAAACAAGAAAAATGGACAGGCTGTGTTTCCAATTTTATCTGTTAAGTTTGTGATTTTCCTCTGTGGCCTCAGGAGACTCTTGTTAGGGGACTGTGGGCACCTGATGACAGAATTCCCTGAGCACCTCTAGTGCAGTCATACTGCCTTGTGTGGGGTCTGTTGGAATGCACCCCTTCCTGGTGTCCCTGTGCTCTGTGTCTCTTGACTGGCTAGTGTTTGTTGTCCTTGTTCTCCCTGTGTGGAGTGTGTGCTACAAACTGCCATTGCAATGACTTGGTGCTGTGACTGCTGTCCTACTGGAAATGCATGCACCCACTGGGAGGTTCCTGAGGGAGAAATGAGATATGGGCTGCTAACATAGTCACGAATGCTAATTCTCCTTAAGGATCTCCTTTGGGTCACAGAGACTATGCTGGTGAGCCTGGGGCTGGGGAGGCATGTTTCATGCCTTGTGGGCACTGATTGGACACACATTCACAGTGCAGTTAGCAGGGACCAGGGCAGCTTGTCACATGCACACTTCAATGTGGTGCACCTTGGCCTTTGTGCTGTGCTTGTCTCACTTAGCCTCTGGTGTATCCCCTCTCCTCCCTTTTCTTTTTCCTGTTGTTTCCCCTTTGTAATCCTGCAGAGCCTTCTGTCTCTTCTCGTGTCCCTGGTTTTGAAGAGAGCCTCTCTCCCGGATGATCATGTGATTAGTAAAAAGCCCTTTGGACACCAGCCTCTTGCATTGTCTGGGTGTGGAGAGAAGCTACAAAAGTAGTGTAGGCAATGGGGCACAAAGGCGAGCTGCTGTTGTGAGCAGTCCAAGGGATGGTCCTGCTGTCCTTGGATCAAGATGTGGTTCTGAGGCTTCACGTGCATCTTCCAAAGTGAAGGGTTACTGGAATCTGCATGCAAAAATTGCACTGAAACTGTTGTCTGGGAGTTGTTTGTTGTAAGAGGGAATGAGGTTCTGACCTTGGGAAGGAGTGCAGCTCTGCTGTGCTGAAGCTGCTCCTGCCCCTACTGGAAGCCTCTTGTATCATGAGAATGTGGCTGTTGCTTCCTGTATAATTTTGTGCATTTCATTTCTTTCATGCTGACAGTTCCTTTCAATTTTTTTCCCCATTTAGGTGTAATTTTTGTGTTAATCATTCATGCATTTCTAGGTAAGGTGGAATCTGTTCATACCTAACTTCCAAACTGCTGTCTGTACTTGATTTCGTTGCATTCCTTTGACTTCTGGGTCATAGACAGATGAAGTCTATCACATTGTGCAGGAGCTCTGATTCCTCAGGCCTTGTGAGCAGTGTTTGTACAGGGCTCCACCAGCAGACCAGTGAGGCTTAGCTCCTATTTTCAGGGTCTGATGGTTTTTTGTTAACTAGGCAGTGGGTTGTACTTTGGGGGTGGGGAAGGGGCGTTTTCACTCATGACCGAACAAGAGGTTCTGGGGGTCAGCAGCTGGCAAGGTGGCCGCAGGAGCCACCTTGGGCACACAGCCCTAGTAGGGGAGTTACCTGATGACTATGCTGACACACTCAGACACCTTTTGGGCTGTAGTTACACTGGATTTGTGTAGGTGTCTGCTGGGTTTTTACATTGAACTAGGCATTGTGCAGATGAGTGAACAGAAGATTAGGTCAGATTGGCGGGATTCCCTGCCAATGTGGAGACTATAAAGCCCCACTTCAAGATTGGTTGGAGGATAGCAGCCAGTTTTGGAAATGTTATGAGACACTTTTTCTTCCCTGTGTAGTCTGGAGAGCGTCCTTGACCCTTAGACAACTAGCAGGGAGGAAAGACCCTTGCCAGTGGGTGCTCATGGTTTAACTAATGCTGCAGTTGGAAAAGGAAGGAAGGACAGGAAGAGTGGGAGGGGCTGTAAGGAACTCATGTCCCATCTCACGGGTAGGCCCCTGACTTTCATTGTGAAGACAGCAGTTGATAAGGAATTGTCCAGAATGATAGCACAGTCCTACAGAGCCTCGACCTGTTGTCCTTGGTGGGCTCACTGAGCCATCTTTACTCCAGCAGTTAAGTGCAGTTGAAGGCAGTGTTAAAGATAACCTGTTTATCAAGACCATAGTAGCAGCAGACCATAGGAGGTATCTACCTTCAGGTAGCTTTGGTGTGGGCCTTGCTCCTTTGTGTAGCTGGCATAGTGGTCTCAGCTCCACCTTTCTCAGACCCACTGTGCTTTTTTTTTAAAGACTTACTTACTAATTATGTATACAGGGTTCTTCCTGCATGTATCCCTTCAGGCCAGAAGAGGGAACCAGATCTCATTACAGATGGTTGCGAGCCACCATGTGATTGCTGGGAATTGAATTCAGAACCTCTGGAAGAGCAGGCAGTGCTCTTAACCTCTGAGCCATCTCTCCAGCCCCCCACTGTGCTCTTTCTTGATAGCTGCACCTTATGTCCTGTGGTGGGCAAGGTTTTTGCTTACTTGTGCATTTTAAGTACTAGCTCCCCTCCATTGATATGCAGGCTAGCCTTGAGTGGCCATATTGTCATTAAGATTTGTGATGTGGCAGATGTTACAGTTCAGTTACAATTTAGTTTCTGACTGTGTCACAGGCCAAAGCCAGTAAGTGTCCCATTTGCAAAATCCCCTTCAAAATCTTGTTGCCTCAGCAAGAGCACCAGTGGACACTGCTGTCCACTTCTTGGCAGGGGTGGGGTTTGGAGCTGTAACATCCCTGTTTAAGCCTGCTGCCTCATCACTCTTGCCTTGCCGGTGGCCTCTTCTGCCTTAGTAAGGGTTGTGCTCCCTAGTAGCTTCATCCTACGTTGCTGTGGTCTGTGTTTTGTATTTTACACCCTCGCTTTTTGTTTTATTGAAGACACAAATGTTAGGTTCTTGTGGTCAAAAATGCCACTTCATTTTAGTAACAGGATAAAGTACAGGATGCCTGTATTCTGAAGCAGGTGGGAGGCACCCACTCCTGGTCCACCGGTTTTCCACCTGCAATGCCTCTTGTTCCATTTGCATTTTTTCCCTCTGTGCTGGGAGTGGACCCCAGTTGCACCATAGCCCATGAAGCTCACACCTCTTACCGTGTGTGCATCGCTTGCTTTCCTCTCTCCTGTCCCTGCTTTACTCGCCTGGGACACCCTGTCTCCCTGATGCTCTCTAGGTCAGTAGGTAAGTGACCTTGGCCACTGTGTTGACTGCCTCTAGGTCTAGCCTTGACTATCTTCTGACAGCTCTTGCTTGAGTCACATCTGTATTGGGGTTTTCTAGAAACTGATAGAATGTGGGTTACAGTCTGTGATCCAACTATTCCAACAATGGCTATCTCCCAGTGGAAAATTGAAAAATCTGATCTTTGTTCAGTCCACAAGGCTGCATGTCTTCAGCTGATCCTGTACATGTGTCAGAATTGCAAAGAGGTAGACTAATGCCAGTGAAGGAATGGATTTGCTAGAGTGAGGGCAAGCAGACAGAGTTCTTTACATAAGTGTGGCCTGTATTTAAGGTGGGTCTTCTTACCTCAAATAATCCAATCAAGAAAAATCCCTCACCAGGAGTGCCTAACAGCTTGGGTTTGAATGAATTCCAGGTGTAGTCAAGTTGACAACTGAGAATAGCATAGCACCTCTGGACTTGGGTTTCTTGTTGACTTACAAGGCTCATGAGACACGGATAGAGACGGGAGTCCCAACCTGGAGGGCTCAGTATATCCCTGTACTCTTCTCATCACAGTCAGTTCAGAGGTTGGAGAGGTGGATAGCTCAGCTGTTAAGAGCACTGGCTGCTCTTGCAGAGGACCTAGGTTCAGTTCCCAACAACCACCTGTGATTCCAGTTACAGAGTATTCAGTGCCTACTCTCACACAGACACACACACACACACACACACACATATAGATAGTTTTTTAATTGAAAAAAAGTAGAGGTCAGACCAGGCCAAGGTTCCCCCTTGCGTGTTTTGACACTGTGTTGTATATATTTTTGCCTCTGAAGTGTGGTGTCTCAAGGTAGACTGGGGGTAGGGCGTGTCATACCATAAATACTTCTGGTGTTAACCTTAATTGTTCACACAATGCAGACTTTTCTTATTAGATCTCCATAGCCATGCCAACTAATAGAATCGCTTTTAATAAATTTATTTTATTGGGCCTGGAAAGTAGGCTAAGCATTTAGGAGCAACTCACAATGGTCTATAACTATAGTCCAGGGAATCTGACTATCCCCTCTTCTGACTTTTGCTGGCACTAGGAGCATATGTGGTACACAGACATACATGGAGCCAAAACACCCCTGCACATAATAAAATAAAATAAGAATAACAGCATAGTGGTGCGGTGCATGCCTTTAACCTTAGCACTTGACGACCAGAGCCAGGCAAATCTGAGTTCAGAGCCACCCTGGTCTACAATAGTGAGTTCTCAAAACAAAGACAAAAGAAGTTGTTTTTTGTTTTTTGTTTTTGTTGTTGTTGTTTTAAACACTTGAGAGACTGAGGCGGGCAGCCAGGACTACGTACATAGTGCTTGTCTAAAAATAATTGATTTTTGATGGGTGCTGAAAACCTAGGGCCTTGGGCATGCCAGAGAAGTGTTCCAACATTGGGCTACATCACTGGCTCTTGTTACTTGGAGACATGGTGAGTCTCAGTATGTGGGTCAGGCTGGACCTGAGCATGGTATTTCCCTGCCTTATCCTGGAATTACAGACTTTTCTCACCATACTCTACAGTCACGGTGATTTCTAGTCGTAGCCCCCTAGGATTCTGGGCAGCCGATGAATTGAGTACATGTCTTAGCTCTGAGGTAACATTGAAGTACTTGTCTATCCTTGGGCTTTCAATGGCCTTCATACAAAGCTCCCCAAATCCTGAATGTGGTTTTTGTGTTAGTTTAGATTGAAAACAGGCATGATTTGGAGACCTGCTTTGTGAGACCCATGGACATGGCTCTTCACAGGAGCTAGCCCCTGGCTATTTGCTCGTGCACCATGAGCTACTGGAGTTGAATCTGTTAGGGTGTTCTTTTCTGTCCATTGAGAGAACCAGCCCGCTGGGAAGGACAGCATTCCCTGCATGAATACCAAGGACAGAACTGCCCTTGGGAGAGGAGGTTTCTGGTAGAGACAAGGTGGTCTGTACGAACAGCAAAGCCTCTTGTGCAGTTCATTTCTGTGGCCCCTAGCACATTCTGAGTTAGACTTTGTGTTAGAACAGAAGAGCAAGCTCCTGGAACTTTTTCTGGGAAGTTGACTTGTTTCCATGTCAGTTCTTAAAGTCTGTTTGCCGGAGTCATCTTTTTGGTAAGAAGGAAAAGTTCCTTGAATATTGGTTCTTGTGGGACAGGGAGATTTGCTAAGTGATGCTGGTTTTATTTTCTTCAAATCTTGTATTCTCCTTACAGAAAGAACCCAGCCAGCCAGCGGAGTGCAAGCAGCAGTAAGAAGCAGCGACCCTGAGGGGCCATCTTGTGGACGGATGTCAGGACCCCAGGCCGCAGGCAGGGTCCTCAGTCCCTGCCAAAGCAGAATTTTGTTGACAGTGCTGTGACATCTAACCATTTCCAAGTGCATGATTCCTCTCCCCATTCCCTTCTTACTTTGCTTAACTTGTACAATGGAGACTAGGCTGCAGTTCAGAATAGGAGATTTAGTTGTAGCACCTGCAGCCTTGGTGCCTGAAGACCATGTAGGGTGGGCTGGGATTGTGCCTGGGATTGGCAGAGCCTGGTGATGCTGTGTACGCTACTGAAGAGGCTCGTGGTTTCTAGCCACTGAACTTCGTGGGAAGCTGCTCCGGCTGCTGTACCCCAGTCATCTCCCAAGCACTATAGAAGAGGCTGTGCTCGCCTTAGAGCGTGTGGGTTTTTTTGTTTTGTTTTGTTTTTTCCCTTTTTTTTTTTTCCCTTTTTTTTTTTTTTCCCCCCCCCCCCCCCCCCTTGATTTTGGGTTTCGGGGGGGGGGGGGTGGGGGCACACACCTCTGAGACCAGAACTGTCTGGTTCATCCTTGTACTTATTTATTCACTTGTGCTTGGGGGGCTGTGAACTTCACTGTCCTCCTCCTCCCACTTACGAGACCATGTTGCTGACTTGACCAGAAGGATGTGGCTTCAAGTGGAGTGAGGCCCGTGAAGGAAGCCCTGCTGCCTCCTGCCACTAGCTGTTCTGTGCCATGCAGACCACGTGTTATTGTCGCCTCTGGAGTGTGCTCGGCTGTAGCCAGGGGGCTAAAGTCCTCCCTCACTAGGGATTGTTGGCCTGTAGAGCACAGCTTCAACTTGCACACCAGGGCCACACCTGAGTTTGGTGACCAGTTGGCAGTTGGTGTGTGTGGAGTTTCCATGTGTTTGGTTGTGGTCTTTGGCAGCCAGGACAGCCATGTCCACAGTGACCAGCCATGTAGAGCGTGCTCAGCCTTACCTGATAACACATTTGTAACTGAATATGGTGTTTTCAATTTGTACAGAATAGTTAGAATATTCTATTAAAGTTGTGAAACATGAAAAGAGCGCTGTTTTCCTGACAACCCACCTGACCCTCCTGACTGCCCACAACTGGGCCACACCCTGATGGACTGGACTGAGTGGCTGCAGACTTCACTCTTGGCTCTGTAAAAGCTTGGTTGTAAAAACTCATTCTTGGAGTTGTTTGATTGTGGAGTCAGCCTGGGGCCCTGGGAATATTTTGCTAATGTAGGAAAGGCCTGGCCTAAGAAATTGGGACAAGGGTGCTCTTGAGCCATAGCTTTGCAGAGCACTGGCTTCCCTTCTAGAGAAACAGAGTTTAATTCACAGAACCCACATGCTGGCTAACAATCACCTGTAACTCCAGTTCCAGAGTATCTGATGCCCTTTTCTAGCCTTTGTACACTGTTTGCATGTAGTGCACAAGTCTCTATGCCCGTACACATTCATACAATAAGATGAATTGTGGTTTTACTTTTTGAGACAGGATTTCTCTTTGTAGCCCTGGCTAGCCTGGAACTTACTATGTTAGACCAGACTGGCCTACAAACTCAGAGATCCACCTGCCTCTGCCACTCCAGTGCTGGAATTAAAGGCATATGCCATCACTGCCCATCTAAGATAATACTTAAGAAAACACCTGAATCAGGCTGTGTCCTGTAAATCAGGATCCAGGAGAGATGCGTACCTCACGGGATTGTATAATGTTTTTGTTCTTTAAGTTTGGTGGGGAAGGTTGACTGAGATGATGTTGCTATAGACTTGTCTCTAACCTGCAACACCTTCACTGCCTTATACCCCCAGGTGCTAGAAGGTCAGTTTGGTGGCCTTTTCTGACTGGCATGCCTACCTTATGTGCTCAGTTAGTTACAGAAATGGCTTACTGCTGGTTTATGGTGGCACATGCCTTTAATTCCAGCACTCGAGAGGCAGAGGCAGGCAGATCTCTTGAGTTTGAGGCCAACCTGGTCTACAAAGGGATGTCAGGACAGCCATGGCTATTCCTCAGAGAAAACTTGTTTTAAAAAAAACAAAGTGGCTTACTCTCCCTACAAGTCTAGTGTCTTCCGGGCCTGTCTGCATGACTGCTCTGTCCTTTGCCTCATTAAAGCCACAGAAGGTAGTAGAATCAGTCTTGAAGAAGGTGGGCATGCATTAGGTGCTTTGGCAATGATGCATGCTTTCTTCATCCTGTGTCCTTCCCCAGGGAATCCTCATTTGTGATGGCAGTCTTGCATACTGCCCCTTACTCCCCGCCCAGTGTGATGGGAGTCACTGAGCAAAGGCCACTTACTGAGTCTTCACCTGAGCCATTTAAATTCACTTACAAGCCTGCATCGCACATGCCATTAAAAGATCAGGTAACTGCACAAAATGATGTACTTGGGTAATTTTCGGGTGTGTTAGTCTGGTAATCCAGCTGGTGTCACAGCAGCACATAAGGAGTGCTTTCTGTGCTGGCCTGGCCTCTGCCTCTTAGTTTGCCACCCATGGGCAGTAGGCCTAGAACTGGCAAGGGACTGTTGGCATTGTGTGCAGCACTTTGCACCAAGGCTCCTGTACCCTTTGAGTGAGGTGGGTGCCTCAGGTCAAAAGTGCAGAGGGTGCCCAGTGTTGTGATGGTTCTCAGAGGTGAGCTATGACAGTGCAACCTTTGGTGTGGGAAGACACAGCAGGAGGGCAGCTTGTGGGGTTACCCAGAATAGAGGTGGACATGGAGGTGTTCGGGGACCCACAAGCTTGGCACTGGGTCATAGAGCTGGGCTACCTGTGATTGGAGGTTCCATGCTGTTGCCTGTGCTCTGGAGTCACAAGAAGGGTCATTGCATGGAGCCAAAAACTCTGGCCACTGCTAAATGCTCAGAGATCCCAAGAAATTTGTCATTCACTAACCAATCCTGTAGACGTGGGGCAGCAGGCTCAGGGCTGTCACTGAAGTATTCCAAATGAGGCATCTAAGCCTCTGGCCAAGGGCTGTGCCTTCTAGCTTCCTCCTGCACAGCCTCAACTCCACCTAGGCTGCTGTTGTCAGGGCAGAGCCAGCACCCTGCAGCTCTTCTGCCAGCTGCCAGGGCAGTGGCTGTATGTGGAGCCTTTACCATGGAAGGGTAAGATGGTATTCAGCCACTGAAATCCCAAGTTCAAGCATCTTGTTGCCTAGCTGGTTTCCCTCACACACTGAAATGTCTAGCCCCAGTGCCTCCCTGGGTGGAACTGGATGGTGCTACCCTGCCAGGGTTTGTATTTGCCACTGGTAGTGGCATTAGGTGGGAATGCTGTGGGGGAGCTAGCTCTGGCCTCTCAGTTGGGTCAACCAAAATTGTTCGGCAACTGAGTTCTGGCCCAGTTCTAAGCTCCCAATGGGTGCTACTTCCAGCTCCAACCTGCTCAGGAGACCTTGACCTGTAGAGGGGCCAGGCTGTCAGAACAGTCTCCAGCATTCCCCAGGCTTCCTGCCAGCTACCCACACAATCCAGTGAAGGCTTTCCAGGCCTTCCTCTGCAGACATAACCCACACATCCTTCCATCCCAGACTGGCTCCAAGCCCACCCACCAGCTGGCACTACCCTGGCAGGTTTTCCAAAACCCTAGGGTTCATCTGACATGCTTTCCTGTATGTGGAGTCATTTTTCAAACATGGACCTTGAAGTCCCGACAGGAAACTGCCCAGTGCACAGACCACTAGCCTAGAGTGTTTGGACATCAATGGCTGAAGAATGAGGGCCTGCAAACACTTACCAAGTCCAAGTAAACTTAATGTGCCTGAATGGAGCCTCTGCCAGCCAACTACCTGGCCATGCTGATTCCTCTCCCAGGTGGAGATTGGATGTTGTCTGTCACAACCCAATATGTGGTGTATTGGGCAGATTGCACTCTGGTGCCTCAGCTAACTCACTTCCTGGTTCCCCAGTGTGTCTAACTCTGCCCCTGCCCACTCCAACCTTCCCAGTCCAGTGCTAGAGAACAGACGCTGCTGCCTTTAGCAGGGTGCTATCAGGGAGCCTCAGGATGCCTTTGAGTCTCAACCTGCTTAAGTTCTGACTGGACTGGCACTCCTAAACCCCATGTTCATCTGGGCAGCAGAGAGCAGGTGGCTCCTGTGGCTATTATATGCTGAGACTTGGAATAAGCCCCACCCCACTGGCCAGCCATTCCCTGCTCTGCTGTGGTATGAAGGAGGGGTCTGGTCTCTGAGCATCACCACTGAGGGTGAAGCTAGGGGCAGTGAGGACCAGGCCCATTCTGTGTTTGATGAATGCAGGACAAGTGCTCTCAAGCTGGCCCCCAGGAATGCAGAGGTGGCAAAGAGTCTTTGCGTATGTAATCAGGTAAAGGGATGACCATGAGTCAGCAGGTGGACCTTCAGCCTGCCTTTGCTGAAGCCCAGAGACTTGCTGTGCTAAGTGCCCCTCCAGCTGCTTCTCCAGGCACATATCAGGACAGAGACAACCATGAGCTGGATGCCAGTGACATTAGACACCTCCAAATTCTGCTTCACTGTGTTCACATAGGTTATGTGTGTGAGACCAGGAAGACCTGCCTCGGTCTTGGCCTTGACCCTGGCAGTGCTTCTATCACATTGCAGCAATACCGAGGAGCACCAATGAGCCTCCTCCCGTGTCCCAGAGTGCAAATATCCATAATGTCATAAGGTCTACAACTTCTCGATCCAGACAGCATTGCTGGCTGCTTCATCTGTGTGTGCCCCTGGGAGTGGTCGCCCAGACTGCCCTTAGACCTGCTGGTCACATGACTTCCCAGTATGGAAGCATAGAACACATACAGTTTCACAAATGTGGCAGGGCTTTGCTCCCTGCAGATTTCAAGAGGGTCCTTTCTTCTGCTCCCAGCCCTAAGGACCTCTAGTGTCCTTAGCTTGCGGCCCTGTCACTGCTGTCTGCCCTCAGTCCTCACCCAGACTCCTCTCCATGTGTCTTAGAGGACACTGGGGATGGTATTTCCGGTTACCCGGGAAACATCTCTAGCCAATAAGGTCATGCTCTCAGGTTCTGGAGATTAGGAGGTGGTCTTTGGGGGCCACCACCCAGCCAGGGAACACCCCTTAAATAGCAGGTGAGATTGGGAGGTGCCCACAGAAACCCCAGTCTAGGAACATTTGAGTAGTCCTCTCAGTTCAGTTTCCATAGTGAGTTCATAGCTGCTCCTTCAGCTCCTTGACTAGAGCCCCGGGAGGGCAGGACTCATTAGGCTCCGCCTCCCTCTTCTGCCTGGCAAGTGGGCCCCTC